CTCCCATTCAACTCATACTATCCATACCCTTCGCCACCATTAAGATTGTATTTTTGTATAATTATTTAAAAGGTATTTTGCAATACTAATTAATTTGTCTATTTTATATATTCAAATTATTTGAAAGTTATTTAATTTAATTTTTGAAAATTAGATTATTAATATTTTAAGGCATCTAAATTTAGTAATATTATTTACTGCAAAATAAATTACCGCGTTCATTTAGATTTTATATAATCCTGACTATATTAGTCTAATTAATTTGGCTTTTTTATTATTAATATATTGATCAGACATTTTTATAAATTTTAATTTTTCCTAATGTACTGTACATGGGCAAAATTCAACATTATTTAATGTAATAGTCTAAATAATCATAGTCCTAACCAATAGATTTCACTACTACTGTACATATAAAGTTTATACAGTATTGTTAACATATTACGTTAAATTATTTAATTTATTTTTGATAAAACTATTAATTAATATTTATATTGTTTCCAAAATACAGGTATATTTGTATATTTAGTACCCATTTATGTGCTATTCATTGGTGTCATGTTTTGGAGGGCACTCATACTGGCCTACGAAAGACCATCACAATCATCCCTATATTCGTTGGCCGGTGCCGTACTGTTCATGATGTCTAATATGATCTTGGTCATTGAGTTATATTTATTTTCCCATTTTAACTGGTTCTCCGTACACCTGTTCCGATATCTGGTGCTAACTGTATATTTTTGGTCACAATTACTGTTTGTATTGTCCATTACAGCCAATGATACGATTATACCGTTTAAGAGGTTTTTACGCAAACTATTACTTATGGACACAAGTAGTGGTGATAATGAAAAATATGTGAAAAAATAAATGAATAAATATTTTGATTGTGATAAAATTAAAATGAGATTTTAATGAATTTTATATTATATTATATTAATATGCAAGTAATATAATAAATAAAAAAATTAACATTTTAAATATTATAATTAAGATCCGGTAAAATCTTTTTAAATAGTTGGTAAAAAGGGAATGTTGTAAAACATAATTTTGGAGCAAACCTTAGTATCTTTACCTAAGATTCAAAATTGTTTGTCATTTTTATCACTAATCTCTTGTAAAATAATTTGTTATAAAAACATATTCATCGATTAATTTGAAAAAATACAGAATAAACATGATTCAAATTAAGTATTAGCAAGGTGTTTATTTAAACTATGATTTATTTATTGAATTTATTTTTAATTTGAGTCATATTTGTATTAATCATAAGTATTTTGCATGAATGTTTTGAAAATATTCATTTAATTTGTATATACTTTTTCAAATTAATCGATGAATATGTTTTCATCAAAAATTATTTTTACCAGAGATTAGTGATAAAAATGACAACAATTTTGAATCTTAGGTAAAGATACTAAGGCTTTGCTCCAAAATTATGTTTTACAACATTCCCTTTTTACCAACTATTTAAAAAGACTTTTACCGGATCTTAATTATAATACTATATCAATACTTTAAATGTTAAATAAAAATTTTTTTGCCAATTTAAATTTAAATTTATATAATATGTATGATAGTTTAAAATACAACGGTTTACATGTTCATAATATAAATACAACAAAATATAATAATACTGTATCGCGGGCCACATTAATTGTAATATATTATACTTATAAGATATTATTGGATAATTTGTTAATTAAAAATAGTATATAAATTCATAATATAAATATTAGGAGTCTATTGTAATAAAATATTATTTATTTTTAATTCTGGTAATATCAATTATTTGTTCAATACAAATCTAGCTACAAACAATATCCTTGGTCAATGAATCTATAAAAAACCCTTGGTTAATAATTGATTTGTAATTCCCCTATAAAAGATTATATCAGAATAATAGATATTTAGTATATTTATATACACTTTTAAAATAATAATCAAGGTAAGATATTTATAACAACAAATGAATTAGATAAAGTGGACGTATACATGAACTATAATTAAATATATTATTTATGACACTTATGGGAGCATTAAAATAGACACTATTCATCGTTACTGTAATATGACTTTAAAGCATAATAACAAACAGTTATATTACAGAAGAGTGGATATGAACTTAGTATTAATATTTAACATATTTTGTGCACAAAGTTTTGTCCGACTAATGACATGGCGATGTCCTGACGACTACTGGATGTCTGGGTGTCGTTGCCGTCGTCGCCAAAAATATTGGGCGCAAATACGCAACTATTTTGCCGGTTGACTGTCCTGGATAACATTCTCAGTAACGCCTATTAAATTGTAGATATAATTATATAATTAGTGATATAATATACTTTGTAATACTTTTTATTTATTTGAAAATGGTTTGTTTATTATGTTTAACGAGTACTAATTTGTAATATTATATTTTGTGATTGTTTTAATTATAATCATTTGTTTCATAAAAATTTTAAAAGCATAACAACAAGTACATATTTATATAAAGAATACTTTTGTTCATATTTACAGATACTGTATGATATTTATTTGATATAAATATACTGTATTAATTATATTATCAAAATCTAAAATTTTTAATGAATTCTGTTCTGAATGAATATAGTTTACTATTTTATTAAACCTAACTTATAATTTAGAAAATAATATTAATATAATGACAATAATACTGATGATTAAATTGTATGACTTAAATAATTATATTATTTTCAAGATTATTAACCGACATACATTTCTACAATACTTTGTAAACTTTGTATTAATAAACCAAAAATATTTATTATGTTTCCTTTAAATAAAACATAATAAATAGCAAGCAGGTTTGACATTTTAAAATTACTTTTTCTGTACTAGAAAATAAGAGGATTTTCATCAACAACAAAAAATAGACAAGATTATTTCAATTGAGTAAATAAGACTCAATAAAATAAACTACAGGTGCGATACACCGATTGGCTTACGAGATGATTATAATTGAATTGTACGTGATGGCACCTACCTCGCGGAACTTGGTGTGCATGAAACAGTAGATATAGCAATTAAAACAGGAACAGTAGGCTAGTAGGTGTGCAATGGATACGCCGGTAGAGCCCACGTAATAGTATAGCTAATTGTAAGATGAGATATTAATTACAAATTAGTGTTTATTATCAATATTATACGGAAATTATTCCCGTGAATAGCATGTAATATACAATATTATTATTATATATTGAATTTAGATGTAAACATTTTCAAAATAAAAATAAATTTTTTAATCATAAAATAAATTTTTATTTTTTTGTGTAAACACACGAAACTCCAGTTTGATTTTATTATTATTGTCAAAACTTTTTATGAAATATAAATATTTGGCTATGATAAACATAAATCATATGTTGGTTACTCTTAATCATTTATTTATAAGAAATTTATTTTTATATCAATAATGTTTTTCAAATATAATAAGCTAACTAAATTTATTATTAACAAAGTTTTGGTATTACACTCATGTCTGTTGTCTAAAAGTTTTATTTCTCAATATCTATACAATTAATTATCCCGACTATTGGTTTGTGTCTAGTATACGTATGGTGTAATTATGAACAATTTATATAATAAGTTAGCGAACCGTTAATTTCAATTTGTTTTGACAAATGAAAGTTTAGTGTGTTTACACAAAAAAATAAAAATTTATTTTATGATTAAAAAATTTATTTTTATTTTGAAAATACGCACAATGACTACTGTTTGGTCGCCGGTATACTAGCCTTCAGTCTAACGCATTGGTGTTACGTAACCGCTCAGGGATTTCAACCAATTTGCTTAAATATTTTACTCATCTATTGTTTGCCCATATTTACGGTCAACACGTGCTTAATATATAGTCAATTAAATGGTAAGAATTGCTTACATTTATATAATATAATATAATTTTAAAATAAATAAATATAACTTTGAGTTAATTATATAAATTATATATTTAAATTAGTAAGTATTGTTAGCTGAACAGTCAATTCTCATTAATATCATATTTTGGCAAACATTATACTAAATTGTGTTTAATTAATTTTATAATCGTAGTTGAGAATATTTTTGTAATTTATTAATTGATAAATTAAATTATTTAGTTTTGATAATTAAGTTTATATTACTTAACCTTGACATTTTTGTTAGTATAAATAATTTTAAATAAAAATATTAAGCATACTTTTTTGGTATTTTTTATTTTAAAAATATTAAACATTTTAATAATGCAATATAATTGACCAGGCATATTCTCAATCATTGTGATCGTGTACTCCTTGCTAATTATGGTAATGTTATGGCGAGCACTGGTAGCTTACCGGCACCGACCCAGTCATGCATCGCGTTTGGCACTCATCGGTGCCCTACTATTTGTGACGTCCGACGCCATACTGGGCACTGAGTTATTCACATACCCGGGTCTATTACCAACCCACGTGTTTCGGGTACTGGTGCTAAACACCTACTATTTGGCGCAATTGTTGTTTGTTTTGTCCATAACTGCCAACAATAGGGTAGTTATCGGACAGAGAGTTATGCATAGGATTAGTCGAAAGTCGAGTAAATCTCAATAAATGTTATATTTTTATTGAATCTTATTTTAATTATAACTCATGTATTCGTCCAAAATAACTTAATGTATTTTTAATTCATTTTTATAATTATAAGAAAGTAGTTTTATTTTGTGTTTAATAAAATATTTCATTTATTTGTATTTGTATGGGACAGTGGCTCACCTCATAGAGTCTCCACTGAGAAGTTTAAGCCATTAGGTTAAGCAAAGTGTCGAGAGAGGGGTTAGTAGCAGAGGGAGTACACTGATCGAGCACAGGACTCCCAGCACAGGGCAAAAAAAGGTATTCTCTCTCTCTCTCTCACTTTTTTCCAACAAAATTGATAAAAAACTTATTAAATAGGCTCGTGGTTAAGGATAAAAATGGACTACAATTCATTAAATGTTATTTCATATTAACGGGTCATCCAGTGATTGCAATTAATAATGTGGAGTTGCGCTCGCATCCATTCGCTATTTATTGATTGCTATTAACTTGAAAATGATGCTTGTTCAATTCATATATTTCATCAAACTATGCTTTGAACATAATGAAAATTTATCAAACAGACACTTATGAGATAAGATTAACTTTAACTAAATTTAAATCAACTGCAAAATATTTTTATTATTAAATTTTAAAGTACTATATAATTTATATATATATTTCATATACTACATTATTTTGTGATATGACTTTAAACTTTGTTCACAAATTAAATAAAAATGATTACTGAAAGGAAATGTTATATAAAAACGTATTAATGAAAAAATAGCATTCATTCAATTTGCTTACGTTTACTGTACTTACGATTGCAATAAGAGATTGTACTTTTAAAAGTCAACAAAATTTAATAGTTTATAACAGCTTAAAATTTATAATAAAAATTTACCTAAATTTTCCAAATCTATATTATTGCTTAAGATATGACTCCGGTCATTTCACTACCGTATATATTAATAGTGTTTTTATATATATGTTTGACGAGAGCGGGTGACGGGTCCCTATGGGCCGCTGTATTCAAAATATCGCCCATTATATGGCTAATATATAATGTTACTTCATATATACAACATTTCCAACCTACCAGTGAAAATATTACCAGGCTCACGTACGCCAAACTAGTGTTACGCGGACTAATAATAGCACTCGTAGCCGATGTGTGTCTGGTGTGGCCCAGGTCAATATTTTGCTTATGTGCAGCTATTATATGCTACTGTTTTATGTATAATTATTACGCAAAAGCACTGGGATGTCGGAC